AAGTGCGTATTGAAAGTTGTGAAGAGAAAATACGACGTATTTCCTCCTTTTCACTTTTTAAAGTTTTAATAAGAAAATTTTATAATTTTATAATATATAATATAATTTTATAATATAATTTATTTACAAAATTGTTTCTAGATATTTAATTATAAAATTAGATTGATATTTTTCTTTTATTGAAATAGATATTATATAACAAGTTCTTGAATATTTGTCATCCTGCCTGTTCATATTTAAATATAAAATTAAGATTGATATTTTTTTTATTGAAATAGATTTTATTGTTAATAGATTTATTGAAATAGATAGATGCGTGATATAAGACTGAAATTTTGTCTCTCCGCCTGTTGCAAATGGAGGGTCAATTTTTCAATTTTAGTAATTATTTTAGTGGCAATAAAATAAATTATTTAGGACATTAGGTTTTTGTTCTCACACATTTAAATCGCGACCTCGGAGACCATTTGAAATATAACACTTTAATTCTCTATTTTGTGTCACGTACAAATAAGTATTTTATTGGATGACCTTATTTTCATTTCAGAAGTGTATAAATGATACAAAAATGAGATACAGAGATGACCATTTAGCCAGTTATCTACATATAGCTATTACGAACAGTAATAGCGCTCTTAACAATCGTCAATTGAAACAAATGGTTTATACCTTTATATTTCCATTTGTACCAATTTAAACTAGTTACGTGCCGACATTCTTTATTCAATTTGTCGAACGTTACAAGCCTTTAAATTTTAGAGCACTAACTTCTCCTAATCCATATTCACAATCGCGATGTTAGAACGCCTAAATACGACGGACACGTGTGAGGTGAAAAGCGAATGAGAACACCGATGTATCGAAGAAAGAGTATCGCATTTTGTAAAAATACAAATGCGCCTTTTAAATAACAGTCGAGAGCAATAATAGACGGCGTTATATGCGCAGAATGAAAAACACAGACGGAAACGAATACGTAAACTAGTACCTGCATCACGTCGGAAGCCAGCAATTTACGTGTTAAAGCGGAAATAAGAGAGAAGAAACGCCGGAGAAGAGCGGAGGTTTCGTCTCGCG